AAAGGTGTATAAAGAAGAAGAATTTAAACATTGTGTAAGGCATGTCTGATATGCAGATATGCTATGAAAGTGATCTGTTAATATTTCATGTATAGATGTAGATATATAATTATATAGGCATATAAAAGTTTTATTACCCATAAAAAGCACATGAATGAAAACCAGCCAGGTGATTATGTCCTCAGCTGGAGGACAGTACATATGGCCTGCACCTGAATGTGTGTGGAATATATTGCAGTGTGAGCAGACATCCTGTTTTTTCTGAGCAGACACACAGTGTCCTGATTCATCTCTGATGTTCTGCATATGTCCTGATTTCAGCTGCCAATCCTCCAAAAACACCAGCGCAGTACTATTTTTAAATGTATCCCTCACAGTCCCACCCACATATGGAACAACAGATTCAGAGCAGAGTTATAGGCCTGTAAATCTGCCACTCTCACCTGTTGTGCTGGTTGCCATGACAACAATGCAGCAATAAATGTTGGCCCATTCATCGCATACAGTGGTTTTTCCTTTAAGTTAACAACCAGGGTAACATCAGTCAAGCCTAATGGATGTTGTTTTACTGAAGAACTCCATCAAATGTACCTGTTTCTCCATTTGGACTATTCTATAGCAAGACATCTCTTAACTCAACAACGTTTTAATGCTTGAACATATGTTTCTTTTCTGTGATGGTCCCAGGTGTAGGCTACTGTGTGGTGAACTGAACACACACCTGAAATAATAAAACATCTGAAACTAGATTTTTAACCCTCTTCCAGGCACACAATTGATTAACTGCTAATGTTAGCATTTTAGAGGTAAAGTCAGTTGATCACCAGTCTGCAGGGTTCCTCCTCTGAAAGTGAATACCAAACGTGATGCCAATCTTTCTCATTTATTCCAACATATCGCATTCTGGACCAAAAATTTATAAAACTACAACCCAACCCTCCCTGTCAGCATATGAGCTTGGCTTGGTTATTTATTGTGATATATTAAATATTTTCACACATTCTGCAGTATATTAGTCCTGGAGCATTAGGGCCACAGGGAGTTCCAAATCCAGCCTTGAGTAATGCCCTGTATGGAATAGCTCAGCTCGACTATCAGATAAACCCCTCCAGTTTAGGCGGGATCAACAGCTGATCACTGCCACCTGACTCTGCCTTCACATCATATTCAATGTGATACTTGCTGAATCCTTTTATAGGCAATCAAAAAAGGAATGTACTGTATGCACTCGGTCAAATGTATGGTAAAGGGTACCGAGTTAGTTTTGTGGGCTGCAAATGAAAAGAAATTCCAGCTGATTGTGAGGGTAACTTGGCTATTTACCGGTCATGGGTTTGTGCAGAATGTTACAAATTGTGTTTCAACCTAACCTTTAAATATTGCGTCATTTAACGCAGACGTTGTGGTGATACTTGGAAAACTACCAGGTACTATCTATACAACTGAGCACAACAAGTTCAAAGAGACGCGTCGTACCATGCAGCTGAAATGCCACATATACGTCTAATTAGGCTTGTAATATAATAATATACGTCCAAAACAAACCAAACCAAATACAGACAACATTGACAAAAAAACCTTTTTAAGTGATTTTTCTATTCTGCTGTATCAAAGATCAAGACAACAACAATAAAACCTAACATAAAATATGGACTAAACTTTGTGGCACCCACATTTGATATGAGATGACAAAGGCTGTTAGCTGGGTTCTTCCTACCCCTGCCCTGAGTAGTGTAAATAGTCATTAGTAAATACAAAATGACAGATATTTACAAAGATACCAGCTGACATCAGCAGCTAATGGAAACATGGAAGGTTCCTGCCCCAGGAAGTCATGGATATTACGACGTTTGTCAAACAACCTTAATCTAAGCAGATCGATGCACTAATGAGAGGCACCATCCGCTTACAGCTGGTTGTGACGTACAGCCTGACAGACGGTAAACAAGCCAGCACTTCTAATTCAATCAATATTCCAGGCTGAAATGTGTGTCCAATAAAACACACATCCACATTTTATTGGAGCATGACAATCTATCAAAATATAACTTCCCACAATATTTGCAAGGAGACAGTGTGGCCCTTCGCTTAATGGATCAATTGATAAGGTACCACTTTGGCTACATTTCTTTATTCTCGGTTACTCTTGTTTTAAAAAAAAGCATCACCTTCAATGAGCAGTAATTCAGGATATTACAATTAAGATTCATTCTTTAAAAATGTACATTTTCTAAGTTACCTCTCATGCATATGGCCATGTATTCAGATTCAGTTTTATTTTCCTATTGATTGTAATGCTCTCGCTGTACAGTACAATGGGGGTCAATTATATTTAGTTTGTAATGCTTCGAGCTTAAAGAAAAAGGCATTTGAAAAACACTAGAAAACATTTCTAGGAGCAATGCACAGTCACAATTGAGTTTTTCAAAAGCCACAAAACAAAGTAACACCCACAGTGAAACCACATGGCTTTGACTTTTACCATTCCTAATCCTCCATGACTTTTAGATGAAACAATTGTGACTTTGCTTCACTGGGATTTTTTTTTAACACCTAACCCATTTTGAAATAGCATTCTAAATTAGGCAGAGTAGCAGCGATACTGTGCAAATAAAAGCAAATGTAATTTGTTTGCCTGGTACTCTAACAATACAATAATCCCTTATAAGTCAATTGCTAACTACGTCATGTTGACTTATTTCATGAAACAACAGGCTACTTAAAAAAAAATCTTTTATAGATTTTTGATTTTCCATAAACTTGGTTGAAGGGTTTAGCATGGGCCAGGCGGGCGGGGGGGAGAGAGAAACTCCCTCTGGAGAGAACTTTGGGATTTTAGCCTTGGCAGACCATTTACAAGCACCACAATTTATATAACAGACTACAGGAAAGGAAAAAAAAAAAAGCAAATAGGGCCTCTTTAACATCATACCAAAACTATCCTGTAATGGTATCTGACAAATATAAATGAATTGCATGTTCTAGGACTTCTGAGAATTTAAACATAAACTCAAACCTTATTTTGTATATATTTTATCAACAAACCAACATTTTAAAACACAGTCGATCATTCAGAGCAAAATATGATGATCAAAGTTATTTATTACTTGCATTTATGCACATTAATCATTAGAAACATTGAATAAAACATACTTCTCAGGTGATAAGATGCTAAAATAGCCTCATTCACAGTGGCAGGATTTTCTGTGAAATCCACACATGTATGAAAAGAGTCCAGAAACCGGACATTTCTGAGCAGTGCTGCTGAGAACAAGCCTCCCCTCCTCCAACAGTGAGGTGGGGGGGGGGGGGGTTGGTGACGACCCATGGGTGAGATGAAAGAGACCCCTCACATAAACACACGCTCAACAGATGTTGCTTTGCACGGATCTTATTACTCAGTCAAATACATGTTTAGATGATCATCAAATCAAAATGTAACCCATTGTTTGTTTAAAATCGATACGGAAAGCTAAAGCACGCTTTTATTCAAGATGCTGATGAAGGATGTAATTGTGAGGTCGCTGGAAAAAGCTGCAGCTCCAAGGTGACAGCACACCATTCCAATTGTATGATTAATTCATCAAAAGTGATGTTCTGAGCAGCTCTACAAATTAAACCAAACTCAATGATTCAGTGTAGGTTTCAAGGAACATCTCAAACAGAGGAAAACTGCTGTGTGTTGTCGTGACAAGTTTTGTCAACAACATGGGCTTCAGCATGGAAGAGATTTCCCAGGGATGGTTTGATAAGGTCTGAACTCCTGGAGCACTCCTAAGCATAACTTTTTTTGTGGTCATGGTAGAATGAATTGAAACAGGGTTTTTTGTATTGATAAAAGCGCCACAGTGTCTGTTCTGAAAGTACATCTGGAGGTGCCAAAGTAACACCTTTTCCAATTCTACACATTTAGATTGCAATCTTAGCCTGATAACAGGACTGACTTATCGTTTGCCTCACACTTCAAATATTCAGACTGACATTTGACTCGTATGTGTCCATTGTATAAAAATGAGTGAAAAAGTGAGACAGATGATCAAGTATTACTGGATAAGCATCACGTCGATTGATTTATTATAGAGAATAGGATACCTTGTTCAAAGATGGTACCCCATTCATTCCTATGAAAAATGGCTCACCCTACACTACAGAAGCCTGGTATGAATTTGTGAAATGAAAAAAAACTATGGATGATGGCGGTGTGGTTCACTGAACATCTCAGGTGGTGTGCATATTAAAACACTGGATCCAAAGGCTGTTTAACATGTTAATACAGTGAAGGCTGGTAGATGAATGGAGGATGGTAAAAGATGGATGTAGATAGATGATTTTTTCCCTATAATAACATATTACAGGTCAGGTTTTAGACAACAAAATAATCCTAAAGAAGGCTGTCAAGCAGTTACATCATGAATGCATCCACAGAAATAAATTGCTGCCTTTTCCTCACAACAGAGGAAAACATAATTTGGGATCGAGCAAAACAAGTAATAAAAACAATCTGTTTATTCTGAAATCTAAATATTTAATATCAAATATTCAAGGTACAAACAGGTGTAAAGTCCATGTGAAAACTCAGTCCTTTCCTTTGTTCTGCCTGCCGTTTTTGGAGGGAAAGAAAGGAGTAAGAGGCCTGAAAGGGCAGGGTTATACAGGCTTGGGTAGGAGAGTGGTCTATCTTGACAGCCTGGTGATGCAGGGAAGAGGAGACTTGTGATTTTTAACAATAGTTGCTGAAAATGGGTTGCTCATTCTTCAATTTTGTGAAACAATAAGCAATTCCAACAATGTCCCATCCGTGTAAACCAGGGGCTAGTTTAACCATATACAAATTGACATTATGATGTGATATTCATCAATAAGTGGGGCAGCTTCAGCAAACAATACATTTTTTATGGGCTAATCCTAAAGAGAAAAAACACATTTTAAATAAAGTAAAGGTGGATTCATACTTGTGCATTTAGGGTTAACAAAAGACACATCTAGCTGACAGACACTCATCTGGCCTGATATTGTGCCACATAGTCGAGTGCTGAACACATAAGGTGTTGTACCATTTTCTTTTCGACCCATCAGTGAACCCATCAGGAAATTCAGTCATGTGTTTGTGTCTCCTTTAGTTTATGGCCTAAGTCAGACAAGAACCAGTGTGTTTAGACATTAAAACTTTTATTGTGCTTTGCTATTAAACATAAAACGTTCTCTTTTTTTAAAGTAAATTCAAGTGGGTTTCTGCAAGTCGGTCCAGCTCTCAGCCCATCTCGGGTAGTGGCACTCCACTCCAATAACAGCACTCTGCCTCCTCATGATGGGACTCCTGCCAGACACTTTGGGGTTGTAGACCAGTGCAAAAGCATAAATGAAGGAATTCTCTCTCATCTAGAGAAGAAAGGGAACAATGGTTCATATTTCATGGCTGAAAGTGTAATATAGTGGTGGAAGAGGTATTCATACTTAATACTCTGTTGGTAGTCAAATTCCTGCATTCAAAGTATAAGTAAATATACAAAAGCATGGCAAGGTCAGTGGTAACACAAGCTAACAAACGTTCATGTTTGTTCTACGATATAAAACACGTCAGTAAATACTGTGACTAAATGAGACTACTTAAAGTAAACACGCCAAACATTAGCCACCTTTAGCTTAGCAGCGAGGACAAGAAGTCATGAGATTTTAATGTAGTTAGTTTATTTGATAATGAAAAAATAAAAATTCAAAATAAGGGTTTATTTAGCTAAACAAGTATTACTATTATATTTACTATGCAGAATTGTTCTTTAAGAACATAATACACTGGATAATGAAAATTATGCATTAATGGTAACATTAGTCAGAGGTGGGAGAAGTATTCAGATCTTGTCGTTGAGTAAAAGTAGAAGTACCAGAGTGTAATACTCTGTTACAAGTAAAAGTCCTGTATTCAAACTGTTACTCAAGTAAAAGTACTAAAGTGTTTGCATCAAAATATACTTAAAGTACCAAAAGTAAAAGTACTTATTCTGTAGATTGGCATTTTTAGAATATAAATCATATGTTTTGATTATAATTAATGATGGATTCATGCGTTTATCGCACCTGGTAAAGTTGCAGCTAGTTTTAATGACTTTGTATACTGCAGGGTAGCTTGTGAATTTACTCCAGGTTTAACTAAAGTCTAATATAAGTCTTGATTATATTTCATGTTATTAATCCAAAAAGTAAAGTAACTAAAGGTTGTAGTGGGGTAGAAATACATACTTGAGTAAAGGTACTTAGTTACTTCCCATCTCTGACAATAGTTTCTAACTGCCTCTGGTAAAGGTGGATCTAATCAATGCACTTTATGAATAAAAACGTCATACCACTAGTGTGCTGCCACAGCCGTGCAGCTCACTCTCAAAGGCGAGCACATGAGCCAAGTTGTCGACCTCAGTGGCTGAACAACCACCGAGGGTGATCTCCTCCGGCTTTATTAGCGTGCCCCGGCCCAGCAGGTCCTGGCTCACCTCCACCTGGACCCTGCTCTCCCCACACCTCACTGCAAGACGGTTGATGTTCACCGGCTGCCTGGGTGAAAAGTTCACAGGGGCCTTTCTCACTGTTTCCACTGGATCCTTAGGATACCTCCAGGAGAGAGTTTGTTCTCCTGGCTGGACCTGCTCTGCCTGCAGGCTGTCATCGTGCTGAACAGACTCCCTGGAGTGCTCTCTCTCAGGTTCTGGCTCTATTTCCACTTCAACTCCAAAGTAAGTTGGCCCGCTCAAACTCAGGAATCTAGCGTCACTAAGCCCGACACAGGCAAGAACAAAGCCAAACATCAAAAGCTGCCAGGAACCCATTTTGTTAGAAACACAGAATTTCCTCTGCAGCTTTCTTAAGCATGAACACTGAAGCAGACAAAGGGAGGGAGGCCTCTGCTAATGAGCTGGAACTATTTGCACCTGTGTGGATCTCACAGCTGCACCACGCTCACTAATTGGAGAAAGGAAGTGAAAATAACAGAGGTGTGGAGCAGAAAATAGAAAATGAAAAGGCTTTGCACAGTAGCAGTATCTTAGCCTGTAAGGTTTATCCGAGGCATAATCATTTTTCATCAATTACTTGGTGAAAAAAAATAAAAATAAGATAAGACAACACTCAAGAATTTGATGAAAAAAATGAATCAAGTGGTTAAAATACCCAACCATGTTTTCAAGCACTGTTGTCATAGTGAGATTACGGTACTGAATTTCCTTTTATTATATGTTACGGGTTACAGATTGTATGTACTAAACATGAGAGGATTTTAATATAATAGCACTACAACTAACCATTTTAATTTTTTTAATCATCCAATTAATTGAATGTAATTCATTCTTGAGGTTATTCTCCAACTTTATCTAATGCTGAATTAATCCAAGATAAAAGTAATGTTTGAAATATGTTAAGATAATTCCATCCTTTATCTTCTAGCTGTGTTTTTTGTGATAGTAGGCTAATAGTTGTATTCCTTTACACTTATAAGCTAAATCTGTTTAATTCAGCCATTTGAAATGGAATGCAGCCACATCAGGTAATGTGGAGAACACAGATGGAAACCAACCAAATGTTTGAGTAAAAATGAAAAAAGTGTTGCTCTAGTAAACCCTCGTGATTTCATGATATGTGTCAGTTAAATGAAGTTGTATCAACAACATTAAGCCTCATTATAAAGATGTCCATTGCTGTGTGTTTCTTTATGGGACATGTTCTCTGTTTATCTTTGATGACGGCACGTCGGAGGCCTGAAGGAACGCACCGTTTCAAGGTCGGGGGAGTGGTTACCATAGCAACGGTACCTGAGAAAGGAAAGTCATTCAAGGATTGCAGGACGCTGTGATTTACTGGAGGGTGAACTGGATTATGTGAAGGGGAAAGAGTCCTTTTTCTCATAATACTTTATAATTATATCTTTTACTAAATAAACAATATGTATTACATCAGTTAGTTAGTTAGTTTGTTAGTTTGTTGCTATACCTGAATAATTTCTTCCAGTGTGAACCTTTCTATATGGAAGCCAAAGGTGGCCAATATTTTATGAATACATTTATAAAGTAAAATACATAACTGAGTTGTTTTTCCTATTCCTGACCTCGCACCTTTCAGGCAATCACAAGACAAAGCGTCATTTTTTGGGGGGTGGAAATCAGAAAAAAATACATTTCTCTAACAATATTTTTAAGCATTTAATTGGAGTCTTGTTTCTATTCACATGGTAAATATATCTGCTTTTTTCTCTCTTTACTAAAATCCACTGTGTTCACAAGAGTTGCTATTTTTTCTGTCTGTCATTGCGGTGTGAAATGTCTTTTCAGAACTTTTTATTATATACTGCAAACAGCACACTGGTGAGAGTGGTTAGAGTGAATACAAAGAGTCAATCTGCAGCCCTTAAAACCAAGACAATGATCTTAAAATGCCAGAAATCTCTGTAGAACTGTAGACTATACTGCAGGTCCATCACTACAGCTGTAATATAAGAAATCCATTGTTCAAAATAAAACCTTGGAAAATGCAGCTTTAACACATTTAATTTTTATCTTAAGAGTTGTAATTCTACCAAAACAATGCAGATGTTAAATAGTGTGTAGTTCCATGTGTCGTTTCCATATGAAAAACTGTTGATTTATGGTGTTTTCCATGTAATGCCATCGACACCTGTTTGATTTACACTCAGCTAGTGTTTACAATAAACTCTATACTTTAGTTTTTTGTTGGATTTGTTTACAGCAATGTCCATTTGTTTACTATTTGATCAAGCTTAAGCCTGTAACAAAAATATGCTGTTATAATTAATGTTAAAAAAAACATATAACACAATAACATATTATTGCATAATGATCAACTATAAAAAGATGTATTATGGCATAGTGTCCTTAAATCCTTGAATGTATAATTGATATAACACAAGTAGGTGCATGCAAACCACTGCATATAGGATCATTATAACTGTTTTTACATAGTGTGGTTATAAACCATAATGCATTGAGGGCCATTGCAGTTTTCGACCCCCATTCAAGTCAATACATTAAGCTCAATTTTTTTTTGTATGTTAATTGCCATTTCTGTATTTTGAGCCACCATGCATTTCCCCCCAGAAATGCTTTCCATATTGTTTCATTAAATATTTTGGAGGTCAACAGTCCATCAGGGAAAGTGGGGGGGGGGGGGCAGCAGCATCATGTATAGCTACATTTCTCACTGCTGCCCCGAGGAGAGCATGCCTGTCCCTGAATGACAAATCAGGCTTATTGATGAACAGAGGGCATCAGGGTCACCATGGAAACAAGAACAGCAGGAGCCATTCCAGTCAGTGACCGTATTAAATCAGGCCCTCTCCTTTTTCAACCCTTTTTCATGGTCAAATTAAAACATTTGAAGAATTTTCACAGTGAGTAATGGAGTGTATACATGTTCTGCTTTGATGTTTTTGAAGTAAAAACAAATTCTGTGGATCTGTAAATAAATCACCTCCTAATCAAAATTAGCCACACTAGCCAAAAACTCGACTTCAAACCAGCTGAAGGTATCTGAATGGACACACACACACACACACACACACACACACACACACACACACACACACACACACACACACACACACCAAAAGGCCATTACAAATACATGCAAACATATGCTCACCTTCACACCTCTTGAATTGATGCCAAGATTTCAAAGGTTCATCTTCAAAGGTGTAAGCTTTGCATCATTCATGAGACATTAGAACAAAGACATGAGATAGGAGAAGCACTGCACCTCACATGTTTTACATTCAACCTGTATGATTAGCAGAGTGAATTATGTGTGTGAAGGGATATCCTTTTCCAAAGGCGCAGTGTGGCTGAGGAATGGTTTTGCTGACTGCCAGCAGAGATCAGTCAGCCAGCTGCCGGGCTGAAGGCTTTTTGGCACTCTGGTTTGTGTGTAGAGGACAAATGAAGGCAAGCCGCTGCAAACGTAAACCTCACAGTCCAGCAGGACTAAAGCACTGAAACTACGGCACAGTGGTTTCTCCTGCAGTGCATGAGTCATCTGCAAAGAGAACATATCGCAACAGGTCAGGAAGCGGGAGTCCTGTCCAACCTGCTGATGTGGACAATAAAATGACATCCTGTGTCAGTCAGCTTCATCTAGGAATACAACTAGACTACATGCACTGGGGCATTTCCATAAGAGAACATGTTTTCTCATTTCTCTAAATATAAACTCACTTATCCTACTACTTGGAAAAACAGCAGTAGAAATTGATTTAATTAAGAGATAATAACCATGTGAACTATGGAATGCTAAACCTTATTCTCACCGGATGGATCCAAGGCTGTTCTCTATAATTGGTTCTGACCCCAGTGTGTACTCCCGAGGATTTTTTGTGATCTGTGACTTTTCCTGAGATCTCAAACCTGTAGGATCTGCAACAGCACGGACCATCTGCCTTGAGCAATGGCGGCCTGTAATTGAAACAACTGAAGTGTCATTCAGTTCATTAGGACAGATCAGTCACAAATGATGTGGTGATAAACGTACATGCAAATGACTGACAGGAAGATCTGATGTGTCACATGCTTTGCCTCTTTTAGGCCTACAAATGTAAACGTGCACTGGGGGTTGGCTTGTCAGGTAAAAAACATTAGCCATTAAAGGGGTGTAATGTAATCAAATACATTTACTCAAGTACTGATATATGATTCAGTGGTAGCAGTTATTTAATTGAGTATTTCGATGCTACTATATACTTCCAATCCATTACATTCTGAAAGCCAATATTTACCCTTTTACATCGCTATATTTATCTGACATCTGTAGTTACTAGTAACTTTTTTCAGATGATCAGCTAAATAAGATTATAAATAAACTGATAAATAAACTATGATATATTATTATAGGTTAAAGGGGCGCTATTATGCTCATTTTCAGGTTCATTGTTGTATGTTGTGCCTCCTCTATGACATGTCTCCGTGCTTTAATGTTCAGAAAGCTCTTTATGTTTCTCATACTGCCTGTGCTGCAGCACCTCTTTTCACCCTCTGTCTGAAACCAGAGCCCAGTCTGCTCTGATAGGTTAGCTGGCTGGCTTGTGATTGGTCAGCCATAAGAGCATAACATGGCCCTAAGATATACAGCAGTATAATTCAAGTTATTAAAATGAGCTCCAAATTCACCCGTTGTTATGCACACTTCAATGACTCAATTCTCTTGCAGCTATTTGAAAGTCTGAGTTCTTCATATACACTACAGATGACTGATCACCAAATCTACACCCCGCTATCTGATTCAAAGCATTCTTGTTGTGTTACCATGCAGCACACATATTCCCAGATAGCACATTCAGAGTGAAAGGAGAGCTGCAATTGTGAAAGCGGTGCATTGTTTTCATATGGAAGTAATGGACTGGTGGCTCCAACAGATTTATTGTGCAGGCCCAGTCAACAGTGAAGCTCTTCTGCAGTTATGTAACAGTTATTTAGGCCTCCAGGAACTCAGTACGACTGCAGTGAGCCTGTTAGGCTGAAGCAGGCTGCTGAGAAGGCAGATGCTTCCTTTCGCTGGATCACACTGAATGCCTGGATATCCCCGGACCTATTAAGTGATAAATCTGTCAGGGTAGAGCTCAGCAGAGCATCTCAGGATCAGGGAGAGCGTGATGCTAACGACCGCTAGCTTTAATGACTTCAAAGGCTTTGAATCAGCCTTGAATGCACTTTGGCCGAATAACGACAGGACTAGCACTGTATATTGATAAGTTATAACTGTCATATATCACCAATGCATATGTTTTACACGAAAAAAGACGTACACTTAAGAGGAATGTCATAACTTAATG